AGAGAGAGAGAGAGAAGCAAAAGGAGGCCACATAGAAAGTGTTAATCGTTAAACAGAACGCAAGTGATCGCAACGTTACCGAAAGAGTACAACAAGAATTTTAATTAAACTGCATTTACATCACACACAATCCACCGTTTTAAAGTCCATAAGGCTTTGTGGCTAATGGTAAATGAAGCCGCGTGTGTGGGAAGAAGAACGTATAAAGCAATGAAGCAATTACCGGGTCGGTTAAGAATCGATCGTAAAACAGACAACAACACGTTACCCGGCAAAAATAGTCGATAACCAATCAAATTTTCACCACCCCTAATGGAACAGAGAGATTTCACGCCCATAGAATAGTAATAAGTTACACACTGTTATTTTTTTCCCCCCCTTCCTCTCCCTCCCTCCCCCTCCGTCTCTCTCTCACTCCCTCTCGAGGAACATCATCAAACGGCATACGTTATGGAGGACTTGAACTTGGGGGAGGGGTGGGGGAGGGGGAGGGGGAGGGGGGAATTCATATTGCGATTCGTAACACGCGCGATTATGCCACGATGGGGAAAGTGAAATCGCTAGGAAAATTCATCGCTTCCATATCGAAAAAAAATATCCTTCTTCGCTCGTGAATTTACTGCTCGCTGACACGATTGGCACACTTGTATATATTCGAAATTGTAGACAGAGTTTCCAACACTCCGGTCAAACTATAAAAAGAAAACGTTCGAAGGGAGGGAAATCTTTTCTTCGATTCGTGGAAGAAATTTTATTTTAAAGGGTTGTCGGAACGATCGGAGGGAAAAGGATTGGCACGAGTGTCGAGTAAACGCTCGTTGTTATAACACGTCGACGCGTCTCGCTCGATCATTATCGCAAGAGGAGATGGTTATCCTGCTTGTTAATTGAATCGGCACGCGAGCGACGACTAGTGGGAAAAAAGGAACGAACGGGACGAACGAAACGGAAGCCGAGGTTTCTTGTATGGAAAGATTGAAAATTCGGATTGCAGCAGAGATCGAGACGGGTTTGGAGGCAAAAGCAAAAAAAAAAAAAAAGAAAAGAAAAGAAAAGAAAAAGACCACGAAATAGGAGGTTGGATCTTCCATTTTTCCACGTTGTTGGCGCGCGATTCCTCGTCGATGGGCGGCCAAAGAAATCCTTAGCGATGCATGGTGTATGGCGTGTTTATACTCTTCTCTCTCTCTATCGGGAGGAAGGAAGTGGAGCGATCGCGGTATCAAAGGAAGCTATTTGTTTTCAAACAGCTTTACGAACCATATCTAGTAGTAGAAATTTTCTTTGCTTCTTTTTATCTCGAGTATATATAAATAAGATTAACGATAGAAAATGATTTCTTCGTACCGTTTTAATCTTAAAATTAATTAACTTTTAAAAGTATTTTATGGATAAAAATATTAACTTTCCAAATAGATTTATCTCTTTAATGCTTTCTAGGTTCGATGGGATACATATGCACTATTATTATCGTTAATATTAAAAAGAATATGATTAATTTTTTCGCTTTGATCAATTTTTTTTTTTTTTTTTTTTTTGATTTTAAGTTGCGTATCTCCACATGCTTGTGACGTTTTTCGACAAAATCTGTGTTTCAATTTTATTCCTCTGTCCATTTCATGAAAAATGTAATTTTATCCGTAAACATCCAGGCAATTACTATTTCTGATGAAAGTGGAAAAGTGTTACACGTGTATTTTTTTTTTTTTGCTCCAGTAACAAAATAGTAAAAGTTAAAATTCATATTATCTGGAACATATCGTTAAACCTTAATGATTTTTTTGACATTATCTTATCGACATTTTCAGCGTGGAAGTATACGAATCTTTTATTTACAATTTCCTTTAAAGATTATTCACCTTACTCATCTTACTCGATTGATCGATTAAATTACAAGACATCAAATATCCTTTTTAACAAATTAACAACGAATCTACGTTCTACCAGAAGAAATAGTAAAAACTCGGAAAAAACTTGTTCCACGATATTGAAAGCTGAAAGAACGATTGGCTTGGCGTAAAAATTAAAATTCGAGATTCGAATACGAATGAAATCGAGGATTGTTCACAATGCAAACGTTGGCCCAAGCGTCTTTTCACACTAATTTTCAACCGTTTCAAAATCTTCTTTCAAAAGAGAGAATCTTTCTTCTCATTCTTTACTTAGCTTAGCTGGAGAAAAGAAAAGGAAAGCGGAGAAATGCTTAAAGGAGAACTTGATCGAACTTAGAAAAAGGAACGTTCGAAATTCGAGCGATATCGATCGTTTGAAGACGTTTGGACGATCTCGTTTCGCGCGAAACGATTGTAAAACGATGATAAGCGATAAAACGAGGCAGGTACAAGTGATTTACCTATTTGATCGAGTGTGAAAGGAGGCACGTTTCGTCAAGTGGACCATGGAAAAGATGGTTGGAAACCGTTGTGAATGCGATTCGTTTCGACATCCCTCCATTTTTATCCCATTTTATCCCATCCATCGTGAAAGGAAGGAGAAACATCTCCCTTCTCTATTTTCCAAAGATCGAATCGCTACGTTCGATTGTTCGAACGTGGATTATAATACGATCTCGAATGTAACGCGAAAGGTTTCGATTCGGTTTTATCCGCGCTTACGAAACGTTTTATCTTGCGCTTCGTTGCAAACCTGTACAAAGATCGAGGATTCGATCTTCCTTCCAGATCCGTCGGTCTTTTCGTTCTCTCTTTTTCTTTTCGCCCCCTTTTTTTTGGAAGGAAAGCGTCGCTTCCACGAAAAAAAGAGGCGGGCCGTTAAAGGAGTCGGACGAGTTTTATCCTCGTGAATGGGGAGGGGGGGGGGAACGAGGAGAAGAATGAAAGATAAAAATGAAAGATGATTTGTGCGTGACTTGTGAAGAATTTTCTCGTCTCGGATACTTGTTTGTGAACACGACGTTTAATGGAAGACGTTGCGTGCTCGAACACACTTCTTTCTTTCATTCTTTCTGTTCGATTGCGACACGATCGAGAAAGAAATCGATATGCACGATACGTGCAATAGGCGACGGTTTCGATATGGGATGGGCGAGGTGCAACCAACTGTTCCAACAGCAAATCGTTCTCCATCGAGTAACGGTACTCGAACTAGTGAAATTTGCCCTAATTCTTCATTTCTGCCGTTGATTCGCAACGTTCATGCGCGTTCTCTCGCGTTTTATTTTTCTCTTTCTCTCTCTCTCTCTCTCTCTCTCTCGCGCGCGCTTTTTATTCCGATCGTTAAGTTTCCGGGCGATTTAGTTGGGGAATTCGAATATATTTGACGCGCGATCGAACCCGATAAAATTTGAATTTAAACGTCAATTCAACGCTCACTTATCACGTTTCCAAGAAAATTACCGAATCGAATTTTCAAATTTTCGTTGCTTCACTTTTGTATCGCTGTACAAAAAATCCAGTCCGGTTTCCAATCCGCTTCCAGAAATTTCGAGAAATAGATGAGGAGGGAAAAAGGGAAAATACTTTCCCACAAATTTTGTTCTCCACGCAGAAAGTCGGTCGTCGAACGGAAAACGAGAGATCAGATTAGATTGCCGATCCATTTGAATCGGTAATTGAAGGTTGTTCGTTCGACGCGATGATTATTCAATGTCTCGTATATCTCGTTTCCTTCTGTTTGAAATATTTAAAAAAAGAAAAACACGAAGAGACACGCGATCGAACGAAGGACAAGTGAATTTACAAGTGTGAGAAAAAGATTTAATGGATTCCAATTTTATTTCAAACGGCTGTCAGCCGGTAAAAAAATCTTGATAAATCTTTCATTGATAAACTCGATATCGGAGGGGAGGGGAAAAAAAAAAAAAACGCGAGAGAGAAACTCGATCACAGTGTCGAGATTATCGGAATATTGAAAATTTGGGTGTGTAAGTTTTATCGCCTTAATAAAAAAAAAAAAAAAGAAAAATTCCTCTCCCCATAAAATAAGCAAGATGATGATTATAAATTTCAATTGCTCAAACTCACATCGAATCTTTGACACTTTTATCGACACTTGTGTATACACCTTATCCGATTTTTATTTTCGTTTATCTCGCGCTCGTTCAACCCGATTCGTTCGTTTCTTTTTCTTTTTTCTTTCCTTTTAGAAATCGGAAATCGCTCGGATTAAAAACTTAGAACGAGAGTCGTTTTATCGTATCTACCTCCACACGGTGGAGGATCGATCGATCGTGTATTTCTTGCCTCCAGACCCGTTATTTGATTCCACTTAAACGAGCGTTTTAACTTTTTAACTCGTTCCAATCGTTCAAAAGAAAAAAAGAAGAAGAAGAAAAAGACATCGTCACTTTACGTTACACAATCCGTGTTTTAGAGATTTATTTAACGAATTTTCAACTTTCACTGCGTACCGTCCGAAGTACCGTTCATTCATCCACGGGAAAAGAATGGTCTTAAAAACGGGCGGCCGTGAAATTAATCATCGTGCTCTCTCGTTTAGGCCTTCTACAAGTGCACGCCACCTTCGGAGAAGCGATTGAAAGCCCTATTAAAAAAATATCCTCTTTTCGCGCTCGTCAACAAATTGAACGGGTTAAAACTGTGTCAAGATTTGAAAAGATTTCAAAATCAAATTTTGAACAAACGTTTCTTTTCAAAGTTGCCGTTGCGTAAAAAGCACGGGAAACAACGTTAAAAAAATAATAAAAACGATGATGGAAAATTTGAACGGAGAATAGAATCGCGCGAAAAGGAAAAAGAAGCGATTGTCGTATTATCGTTAAAACCGAAATGATGGATGGATCGAGCCAACGACGATGGTTAAGGATCATTCGATTAAGAGATCTCGGATAATGTTGCAGCAAATTGTCGTCTTATAACCGTCCACGTTTATTTATCGATCACGCGTAGCCAACAACCAACCACTTCTCCTGCTTCTCTTTCTTGTTTTACGCATGCTGCGAATAACGACGATAAACGACGATCCTGTAAACGAACGATTTCTGTAAAAAAAAAAAAAATCGATCAACTCGAGGAGGATGAGTTTCAAAAGCAAAAAAATAGAAAAGAGAAGAAATCCACCCTCGTCGTCGTCGAAGGAACGCAAACGAAATAAAACGAGAGATCGGATGGGGATAAATCGGGTCTCGATCGATCGTTGCATCCGACTGTCAACATCGACGGGGACCATCGCGAAGAAGTCACAAGTCCTCTGGTGGGAGGCAAAACTCTCTCTCTCTCGAGCACAGCTGATCATTAAAGCTGCCGCTGGCCAGTCAAACTTTCACGCTCGGCCATATCCAAGCTTCGTGCGTCCCGACGCGTCCCAGTGCCTCGCAAAGTTTCGCGAAAATCGCCATCGCCCGATCTTTCATTTCTCTCTCTCTCTCTCTCTTCCCTTCCCCTCTCCTTTTTTTCTCCAAAATCTTGCGTTCGAACGTTTTTTAAGGCGGTATTCTCGATTCGACTCCGATGTAAATAAATCCTCCGATTTTTCGTAGCTGGGAAGAAGAGGAAGAGGAAGAAGAGGAGGAGGAGGAGGAGGAGGAGGAGGAAGAAGAGGAGGAGGAAGAAAGAAGGATGAAAAAGAGGTTGTTGTTAATCGATGGAAAAGTATTGGTGAAAGAGTATCGGCGGAGAGGAGCAGGAAAGAAACTTCTTTCGTGGAAATGGTAAGGAGATCGATGTTGAACGAGTGCGCGAGAAAGGAAGAAAGGTGATACGCGTAAAAGGAAGAAAATCGCGGACGAGTGCCGCGAGGTAAGAAAAAGTGGCGGTTCGATCGACCGCTTTTTCATTCGTCGGAAACGATTTTTCAAGGAACCATTGTGCGCGCCAACACGGTCGAAACGTGCACGAAACGAGGCTTCGTTCTTTTCGTATTTTCGTCACGGTGGTGGCGCGCTTCGCTGACGAACGAGAAAATTAAAAAGATCGAGATTTTTCGACATTCTTCCTTTTCGTTCTCCCTCCCCCCCCCCTCCCCCATCCTTCGAGCAGAAATAGGGAGTTCAATAGGTGAATTTTCTTTTTCTTTTCGATCCGTTTGATTCCCGTGGAACGCGCGTGAATTTGGCGCACGATCAGGAACGGAGACGACCCACTTTCGATAATTAGTATTCCACTTCGATCCCTCTTCCCAAAGAAATCTCTCTCTCTCTCTCTCTCTAATTATCCTATCTTCCAAACTATTTTTCAAACCTATCCTCTAATTTTTCAAAATTATCGCTCGATATCGCTCCTCGACCATCTTTTCTCTTTTAATCTCGAACCGCTTCTTCTACTCTACCTCGTCTCGCTTCCTCGAAAACTTTAACCCGGCCTCTCTTCTCTCGTTCGAAGAAGATCGTTCGTTCAGTTCGCAAAAGGACTCGGCATCTTTATCCTATTGAGGGCGAGCACCCGTTCAAATCCATTTTTCGAGAAAAGGCGGTCGAGGAGGTTGTCCTCGAAGGGATTTGACTCGAGGAGATCTCTGTCGATGCGCCATTAACGAAACTCTCGAATTTATCGCGAGTTTCGTCGGTCGAAATCTCGAGGCGAAGAGAGAAAAGGGAAGAAAAAAGAAAAATTCGAGAATTCTTCCTTCCTCATCGGCCACGTGCGTAAACACGAAGGTCGATACGATCAAGAAAATTAAATATATACACGTGTATATATATATATATATATACACACATATACGTCACACAGAGCATGGAAACACGTTTCATTCGGACGCAAACACGTCTCCAATCAGTACACGTTTTGTTGTATGCTGGCTTTCTTTGAAACGGCGCGATGATGAATAAATAAATAAATCATTACGCATAGTCGTGGCAAACCGCGGCGCGGTTTATCTCGAAGCTCGGGATAAAGAATTATCGCGGAAACGAACCTGATCGGTCATGGTCCGTCGTCCTCCACTTCACCTGTACAAATGACGGGGGAATAGAAGAGGCTCGTCTCGACGACCCTCCTCCTCCTCTTCCCCTCCTCTCAACAAGAGACAATCGTCCCATGGCCGTTTTTTTCCTCCTTCCTCCTCCTCCTCCTCCACCTCCTCCTCTCTCTCTCCCCCCCCTCCCCTCCCTCCCTCCCTCTCTCCTCCAACACCCGTCATTACAATGATAATGGATCAGCCTGTTTTTTCCATCCTCCCGCTATGAGGCGTGCACCACCAAGTGTGCACACCACCAAGTCTACGTTTCTTGGCTGAGAAAGAAAAGAGGAGACGTGAAAAAAGGGAAGGGAGAAAAGGACGGAGGATTCACGCTCGAAACACTCACGGGCGAAAATAATCGGGGAATAATACCTTTGAAGAGATATTAATAATAAAAGCGGATGAGGATAAGTAATAAGGACGACGTGGGGGGAAACGGAAGGAAGCGAGGAGGCGAGAACGTGTTATATACGTGTTGGACGATGATTTCGTTTCGAGAGGAAGATCGCTCGAACGTTATCGATTGATCGCGGTTGGGAGAGAGAAAGAGGAGAAGAAGCGCAGAAAACGCGGAGAAAAAAGGAATTGCTCGTAAGGATGAGGAATCGAACAGCGGTGGTCGTCTCCTTCGTCTCGGCCTTCGTCTCGATATTTTGCGATCGGGCGGCGGCCTACAACGTTCTGATGGCCACCATGGGTGGGACCAAGTCTCACACCATACCTTTCGTCGCGTTGGGCATCAGTTTGAAAACGCGCGGACACAACGTCACCCTTTTAAGCGCGTTTCCGGGACCGGCTGCGAGCAATGGCCTCCAGGAGTTCGTCCCTCCCATTTTCCAGGTAATTCGAAAATCTATTTCTTTTTTACACCCTTTGTTTCTCATACGAACTCTTTTCGAGATTCTAATCTACTCCTTTGGCCGAGGTGGTCAGGGAGTGCCAGGAAAGCTCTGTGTTTTCGATCAAGACCGATCGCAAGTTTTTTGCTCGTGGCGGAGGAGAGACGTAGAAAAGGGATTGGTTCGCGTGTAAACAGTTTGAATTATAAATCGCGGGAATCGAGAAACGAGCGGGGAATTTAGCGAACGTTCCAACCAACTGGATGCGAAGCGCGAGCACGTTTTAAAGAAGAAAATTCGAAAATTATTCGAATCGAACGAATAGCTTTATGTAATAGCTTCATGTAACAAGATACGCTTTTTGATACGCAAACTATGCACAGTGTTCAAGTGTTTCTACCTCTTTAAAATGAACCGATTTTGCCAAATTAAATAAAATAAAAAAAAAAAAAATTAGCAACAGAGGCTTTTCTTTCTCTAAAATTCCCCAATAATCTGAAATAATTAACGCGCATTATCAACGGCAGGCTTACGTCGGCAACTACACGTCCGAATGGGATCTGGTTGGCGCGAGGTTCCGGGACGAGATGCCGATCTCGCCGTGGGACGCGATGCGATATGCATGGGAGTCTTGCGAGGCGTTTCTTCGCGACGAAATATCGGTGGGCTGGGTGAGAAGGGGTGAGGCCGATCCTCGAAAACGGTGGGACGTTGCCGTGGTGGACGGGGCCTTCCCCGAGTGCCTTCTGGGTGTTCTTCACGGCGAGGACGTGCCGACCATCATGCTCAACACGGTAACAATTCCCTCCTCTTTTAAATTTTTTATTAAACGTATTATTCTATTATCGAATGAATCTGTGTAAAATTGATTTGAAAAACTCGAGGGAGGGAGAGAGAGAGAAGAAAAAAAGGTTATCTTGTGTCGTTACGATATCAGGTGGCCTTGTACAGCGGGTCGATAAGCCGGCAGGGGAACCCGTCGCCGTGGTCCGTCACGCCTTACTTCGGCAAATCCTTGACGCAGGACATGAGCTTGGCTCAAAGGATCGTGAACGCCGCCTGCCTCGTCACTTTGAGGATAATGCATTGGATCATGATCACCGGATATCTTCAACCGGTTCTGAGAAAGTATCTAGGTATCGTGGTTTACTTTATTCGCTCGTTCGTTGATTTCGTTCATCCTCACTT